ATATATATATATACTTCAATATAACTGCTAGAAGAAATGCCTCTGATGAAGAAACATGCACGCAATATTACTTAACATTCTTGCTATCCATTAATATTTTAATGTTTTTGTAGTTAATATGTATATATAATTGTGTATACTATACTATTATTGAAGAGGTAATTATGTTTGTTATGTAAGTTTCTGTTTTCTATACCAGAAATAACTACTCTTTAAATAATAATACCCATGATTGATTTTATACATAAATATTATGAAAAAAAAAATATACATAATAACAACGGATTTCATGTATATCCACTGATATTATTGAATAGACTTATATTTATCGAATCCATTATTTTCCGATGTCAAACAAAATAAATTGAATAATGCAACTGTGGACTTGGCTCTTAGCAAAGCTACAAAGCTACCATCAGAAGCTGGACGAGAAAAAATATATATGGAACTATATATCCAGAGCATTCAAAACCAGCCACCACTTCCTAGCTTTGAGCTAAGTCCGCCAATGCCTTTACCTAAGAGATTTCCAACACGGCCAGCTACCACGTTGGTAACGGCCGCTGCTTGAGCGGCTCCAATCTTTGGCTTTGGCATGCTGCGCGATGAATGGGCACCTGACTCTCCACCCTCGCTGCCGTCCTCTTCATCACCATTACGCATATCGTCACAATTTCTATAAGTTACAAGCAATACATAATCTTAGGTTAATGTCCGTTATTTTCGGCTGTGACTACATGCTACTTACAGCTCTCCATCGGCAACATCAGGCATAGTCAGCGCACAGGTTGCCTCTTCGGCAGTCATACGTTGTATAACTGACTGATATGCTTTTGAATTTAACTTGTCCTCAAGAACACCTTGTAATTCAAAGTCCGAATAAATTTTCTGGTTTAAAATATAGCAGATTTAGTAAAGTGAAGTCTATATAAAAATTCAAATTTTAAATAGTAAATTATTGATTAAACAAGTAAAAAGTAGGGCTGTCGAATATTTTTAAAGTATCATATCGATGATATTTTAAGTTTTGAAAAAATGTCAATATGATATTTGATATGCAACTTTAAAAAAACGACATATCAATATTATTAGATTTTTTAAAAACTTTTTTCCCACAATAAATTAAGTCTCCGTTCCACAAAAAAACAAAAAAACAAAAAAAAAATAAATAAATAAATAAAAATAATAATAATAATATGATAAAGATCGCTTACTCAACTCGGTACTGAAAGATTTCAAAAAAAAAACGTAATCTGTGGTATGAGTATCCGTCGTACGACTTCGTGAGCCGCTGACAATACATTTTTTTGTCGAAGCATCGTAATGTGATCTTCGATACTCCAGGCATACCTGCCTTATGAAAAATCCAACAAATTATTGGATTTCTTTCCCTAGAAGTATGCTGCAAGCTGCGGTACAGCTCAAGTTCCCTCTTTTCCGCACAGTTTGCTGCACAGTGCACTATGGGCGTTTTTGGCGGCATAAAGTCTAAAAATAAAACTAGAAGCCTAATTTTTTTTTGTATTATATTATCTCGAATTTCTGATTTTTTTTTTCTCTTAAATAGTGCCACGACCTTTTTTTCGAGCCCTTATTCAGTATACGAAAATTTCAGGTTTTTTTTAAATGTCTTAATATATAGGGAAAAAAGTCTTTGCAAAAACTTTGACACTTTTCTGGGTTGATAGGGAACTCACACTATATAGCTATTAATATATAGTAAAGGCTGTGCGGCTGTGGTTGTTGTTGTTCCAAATATCAAGATGCGTGTAGGTGGTGAACGCAGAGGAAAATTTAAGTGCTTTTTTTCAAAAGGAGCAAAAAAGAGCAAGGCTTTTTAATACCATAAACTAAACATATTGCTTAGTAACTTATCATTATTAGTTGCATGTTTTAATATGCACTTTATAAGTAATTCTGCACGGAATAATTAAAATTGTTAGATTTTTTGCTAAAAATACAATCAGCAATAACACTGGACAATAAAAACCAAACAAAAATGTATGCATATATAATTTTTTTAATTTTAAATGAAAACAATAATAATTTGAGCACTTGCAACAGCAGAAAATTTTTCGTGCCAATTTTTAAACGTAGAAGCTTCAACAGATCAGCTGATTTTAGGTGTTCCCACACAGAAAGAATTGACCCCAAAAATGCACAAAAAATGTTTTCCACCTAATTGGCGTATTCACAACTAAGGAATAAAAAAAATTTAATATTTCACCATAAATTTGTGGACTTTATGCCGCCTATCACGGAAAATCGCCCATAGTGCAGTGTAAGCATCATAGTGCTTCTCTTTCATATACATGTTTTTATTATTTTAAGGCACAAATTACATTCGGCTGTTCCCTTTTTAAAGTCCGAATAATTCGTTTTCACCATATTCAATTTTTTACTTTTGCGCTTGGTTCACTTATCACGAGAGTGATTAACTTAAATATATCAAACAATCGAAGAAAAAAAAACAAGTAAGAAGGCTCTAGTCGAGACTGCTCGACTAGGAGATACCCTGAACCCTCCAAGCTGATATTTTAATCATTCTGCACTTCTTCTATGCACACATACATACACATGCATCCAGACGCAGGTATAACAACGCGCTCTGCTGACGGCGCAGTAAGCAGCGACTGCGCTTGGGCTCGCTGCAGTGTTGGCAATATTATGAGAATTTATTTGTTGAATAATTTAATTTCTAGACGTACAATCTTAATGAAACTTTCAGAACGTAATCATAATGTTCAAATGTAAAAGCAGAAGTCCCTAGTATTTGAAATGCGTTTTTTACAAATTGGGGGCGAAGGGGGCGTGTAATTTAACTTAACTTTATATACAACGCAAATTTGAAGTCTCCAGGTCTAATAGTATTCTAATGAGGCTGAAAAAACAAAATCAATTTTTCGATTATTCTCGATAAAAAAGTTATCGGATGATTTATCGAAAAAATAAAGCAAACTCGTACTGCGTAT